ACACTAGAATGCATATTTGGGGGAAATATATTACATAAAAATTTTTTATAATAGAGCAAAAATCAAGAAAACCACAAAAAATATATTGAATTTAGTTACATTTTTGTAGTTTTAATTCTTTACAACACCTCATTTGATATATATATATATATACATACATACATACATACATACATACATACATACATACATACATACATGCATACATATACACACATACATATACACACACACACATTTTTATTATTATTATTATAAGTATTATAAAGACAAAAAAAGTAATAATAGGAGTAAAATCCGCCCCCACTCTTTACCAAAGTTGAAACATTAACTCTCCATTGACGAAAACCAGATCAGAGAGTTTACACCCAGCTCAAATGCTCAACCTTTGATCCCAGAGCTGGAGACAATTTATGACTAAATATTTCCAGGCTGCTGTGGATCTAGGTTTTACACTACAGCAAATGTTTTATTCTCTGAGCATTAGAGAGGAAAAACAGATGAGAGAGGGAAGGAGAAAGAGAGAGAAAGAAAAAGAGAGAGGAGCAACAGGGCCAGCTGGAGATATCAGATCCACATCAGCTGTCTAGAGATGAAACTAACAAACGGAGCACTGGAGATTACCGAGGAGTACCAGATATACCTTATATTAAAACACAGAGAGGGGGTATATATAGTAGCATATAAAGCAGTTAAAAGTCATTTGTCATTGTATATTGAATATAATAAATTATATTCTCCTGTGATGGAAAACTGAAAAAAAAGAGAAAACTTTTATATGGATTGATAAGAACACAATTTAATTAAATCGAAAAACATCCTGTGTAACTTTGTACATTTATGTTTAATTCTGAATAGGCCAAATGCATAAAAACAGCTATTATATTATATTACATTATATAATATTACTAGGCTTTAAATATATATACACACACACACACACACATACATACATACATACATATATATATATATATATATATATATATATATATATATATATATATATATATATATATATATATATATATATATATATATATATATATATATATATATATATATATATATATATATATATATATATATATATATATATATATATATATATATATATATATATATATATATATATATATATATATATATATACATATATATATATATATATATATATATATATATATATATATATATATATATATCTACTATATATGTATATGTGTATATATATA